GGTGCTGAAGGATCACCAATTACTTGATGTAAAGGAAGACTTCTGGTCCACTTCGTGCTATGAGGTAGGGGGTGTACGAACTTTGATCTGGATTTGGATCAATGTAAGTTCGTGGGGGGTTTATTTGAATAGGTTCAGGTGAAGGTTCGGTATTTGAGTTAGCCGCAGATTGATCATCTGATTGAGGTAAAGCAATAGCATCTTGTACTTCTGACGATCCACCCTCTTCACCCTGAACTGAATTGATAGGATTTTCCATCTTTATCTCTTCATTGATTTCTTCTTCCGTTTCAGTTACAGGCTCATCAGGAGATGGACCTGATAACTGTTGTTCTGATGAACTGTCCCTGATCAAAATAATTGACTAATTAGGCTTGTTGTCAAAATATTCATCATAAAAGTGTTCAAACAAAAAATCTAAATCGGTCTTATTTGAATTGGAAGATTCAGGAGTATCAAGCTCAGAATGACTAGCATTACGCATAGTATTAATTATAAGACCGGGTCCTAAACTGAATTGTTCAGAAGCCATATCAACGACTTCATCAAAGGATACGTTTACACTCTCATTGATGATTTTGGTCCTCTTATTGTAGACCCTGTACGCGGCTGATGTCTTTGAATAGCCAATAAAGACAGCTTCATCAGCTTTGGCAACGAACTTCCCTCTGTCCTCTTTATCGTTCAAAATAAAACATCTACATCCAAAGACTCGGAAAAAGCTAATGTTAGGTATTCTCTTGTTAATGATCTCATACGGAGTTTTACCAAACCTTTTATTTATCAAGGAGCGGTTCTGGGTAAAACAAGCAGTTGCTACTGCTTCAGCCCACAAAAATAATGGAAGACTAGAAAATGTGAGTAATGTCCTYGCTGCTTCCACTAGCGTTCTGTTTTTGCGTTCAACAACACCATTCTGTTGTGGTGTTCGGGCTGCCGAGAAAGTATGAGAAATACCGACGGATTCGAGATATGCACCGAGTGTCTTTGAATTCAGTACCATTATCAGTTCTTATTTTCTGAACCTGAAGTTGCAGATTAATCTGGACTGTCTTCAAGAAAGAGATTATCGTCTCGGCTGCTTCATCTTTAGATCTTAGAAAATGAACCCAAGTATATCTGGAATAGTCATCAACTATAACCAGGACATACTTCTTTCCGTTTATGCTTTGGATTCTCATAGGACCACAGAGATCCATATGAAGAAGATGTAGAGGACGTTCGGTGTTGAACTCTGTCTTCAGCTTATGAGAAGCTTTCTTCAATTTACTCATTTCACACGCACCGCATACGTGATCTTTTTGAAACTTCAGTTCTGGGATACCTTTGACCAAGTTGT